ACCACTGTATTGCATTGAAGACTGGGTATAAATGAACAAATCAAGAACCAAACTAGTTTAATAAGAACCAGTCTAGTTTGAAGGTTTACCAATCCAACCGAATGAGGTAATTGAATCGTAAAAAATTTTAAATAAAAGATAATTGATAATTTGACAATATCTAATGAAGGCAAAATTGTCTTTTTTTAATAAAAGCATACATTTGACAACTCAATTGGGGGCAATTTATAAGTTCTGTGAATATAGTGTGCAATTTGCTGCTTGACCATGGTTATAAGGGGCAATATGTGATTAACATATAAATCCATGCAATGGCAAAATACATGGCATTAATACCAAGAATGTAGCCATTAAAACAGTAATATGTAACAAAATAATAAATTTTATCACTCATTAAAAAATTGGGACAATAAAATAGTAATATATAGAAAAATGATAAAATTTATCACTCATTAAAAACTTATGTTTCACAATTGATTATATCCATCAAAATTCAAATTAAATACTTATCAACCATGAACTACATTAATAAAGCTCAGTGACTACCAAAAAAGGACTAAATCCCTCTTTGGGCTGTAGGTCGGGGGTTCAAACCCTATTTGCAGTGAAAAAAATCCAAAAGAAGTGCTAGACATCCCCTTGGTGTAGTTAGATTTGTATACTTGCTAACCCCTTACATAACCTGATACGAGCAGTAGGATCATCACTAGCTCGTGCGAAGATGCTTGAGATTTTTTCAATTCAATCCATGATGTTCAAGATTTTGTTGAAATCATGAAGAGGATGGAGTACTAGCTATTTGATCTTCATGTTTTTAGTTTCTTCTGTTTTGTTAGATTTTTCTTGTTTAGTTGGTTAGGTAGTTATTATTATGAATAAATATGGCCAGCTATGTGAGCTATTTGAGCCATTTAAAAGTAGTTAGGGAAATAAGTGACTAAATCTTTATCCAAATTGGATTAGTCTGAGTGACTAAATAAGTGACTAAATCCTTATCCAAATTGGATTAGTCTTAGTGACTAAATAAGTAACTAAATAAACTATCCAAATTGGATTAGTTTTAGTGATTTAGTTTTTAGCTATAAGTAGGTCTTTTCTATTCCATTGTAAGAGAGTTATGAAATGAATAAAAATTGAGAGTTTTTCTCTTTCTTGTTCCTTAGGAACATTCCTTGATACAAAATGAATTATGTCTCCTTTGTTCAAGTTTTGACTTATCAATTCAAGATCATGTTGAATTGTGGCACTATTCAACCAACAAATTTTTGTTCTCTAATTTGTTAGATTGTGGGTTGAAATTAAATTCAAGGTTCACACCTCGGGGGTTAGAGGGGTCAAGATTTTTCCATCTTTTGTATCCATAACCTGGTCAAGATAGATCCTTGCACTGCCTGTGCAATTCATTTCTTCTCGAGCGGTCCTTGAAGAATCGAGTTCGCATCATCTGGTATCAGAGTTTCGGCTTTTGATTCAGGTTAATATCCTTTTTCTTTTCTTATTTTTCCTATTATTTTTCTACCAAAACCCTAGTCTCCTTTTTATTTTAAAAAAAAATTATTCTTGTTTTCTTGATTTTATTAGTTGAGTCTAACCTACCCCGTTGTTTGATCGAGGTTGGAATTTCTTGGTGTGATTATGTTCTTGAAAACAGGTTTTTCAAGGGTTTAACTCCCAATTAAATTTCTTCCAAGTGAAGTCGTAACCTTGTGTTGAGTCATCAAAAGCAAAAAAAAAATTCGGATACTGTACACCAGGGGGGGTACTGTAGCGTACTGTTCATCGTACTGTAACGTATTGTTCATCCAAGTTACTATTCATCCGAATTTAAAAAAAAATTCAAATTGTATTTTTTGTGTTTGCTTTTTCGTTTTTGGTATCCTTCCGTGGTTAGGTGGTAGAAGAGTCCTTAGGGTTTCCAATTCCTAATTTATTTAAGATTAGTAAGTTCGTGACTTTCCTTTTCCCATTGTGCACAACTTTTCTTTGCTGTCCAATTCCTAGCATCTTTGGGAGTCCATCAAAACTATTATTTCTAATCCTTAATTGTGTGGAAAAAAAAGAAAAATTTTCAGTTTATTTCCATTACCAATTCCATCCCCCTTCACAATACAAAAAGTCCTCCATTATTGCTACACTTGTGTATTTCTTTTGATCAAATCTCGATTCGAGGACGAATCGCTTTCAAGAGGAGGAGAATAATACGAGCAGTAGGACCATCACTAGCTCGTGCCAAGATGCTTGAGGGTTTTTTTAATTCAATCCATGATGTTCAAGATTCTGTTGAAATACATGAAGTCGTGAAGAGGATGGAGTGCTAGCTATTTGATCTTCATGTTTTTAGTTTCTTTTGTTTTGTTTGATTTTTCTTGTTTATTTAGTTAGGTAGTTATTAATATGAATAAATATGGCCAGCTATGTGAGTTATTTGAACCATTTAAAAGTAGTTAGGGAAATAAGTGATTAAATTCTTATCCAAATTGGATTCGTCTTAATGGTTTAGTTTTTAGCTATAAATAGGCTTTTTCTATTCCATTGTAAGAGAGTTATGAGATGAATAAAAATTAAGAGTTTTTCTCTTTCTTGTTCCTTAGGAACATTCCTTGATACAAAGTGAGTTATGTTTCCTTTGTTCAAATTTTGGCTTATCAATTCAAGATCATGTTGAATTGTGGCGCCATTCAACCAACAAATCTTTGTTCGCTAATTCATTAGGTTGTGGGTTGAGATTAAATTCACGGTTCACACCTCGGGGGTTAGAGAGGTCGAGATTTTTTCATCTTTTTTATTCATAACTTGGTCAAGATAGATCGTTCCGCTGCCTGTGTAATTCGATTTTTCAAGACATGTCATTGGAGAATCGGTTCGCATCGTAAGCTCTTTAGACTCCCTTCTCTGATAGAATAAGATAGATTAAATTATAAGAATATTATCATTACTGAAAAATGTATCCTCGGTCGAATAGGGTAGATTAGGTTATAAAAATGTTATTGTTGCAGAAAAATGTAGAATATAATAGATTATATTATAAAAATGTTATCGTTGCTAGCCCCTTACATAGGTTCTTCAGGCTCCCCTCCCCGGTAGAATAAGATAGATTAGCTTATAAAAATATTATAGTTGCAGAAAAAGATATCCTCAGTCAAATAGGATAGATTAAGTTATAAGAATATTATCATTGCGGAAAAATGTAGAATATGATAGATTAGATTATAGGAATGTTATCTTTACGGCAAGAAAAAAAAGAACCATGAATTACATAACCTCTTTAGACTCCCTTCTCCGGTAATATAGGATAGATTAGGTTATATGAATGTCGTTGTTGCAGGAAAAGGCATTCTTAGTCGAATAGAATAGATTAGGTTATAGAAATATTATCATTGTTAAAAAAAGGTAGAATATGATAGATTATATTATAAGAATGTTATCATTGCAAAAAAAATTCATAAATTACATAGTCTCTTTACGCTTTCCTTTTAGGTATAATAGGATAGATTAAGTTATAAGAATGCTATCGTTACAAAAAAAGGTATCGTCACTCGAATATGATAGATTAGGTTATAAAAATGTTATCGTTGTGGGAAAAAAATCATGAATTACATGGCCTCTTTAGACTAATAGATTAGATTATAAAAATGTTATCGTTACTGAAAATAAACCATGAACTACATTATGGAATTGATATGACAATCATATACATAACAACCAATAATCATCAATGAATAGGGTTTCATTGTCAAATTCCCTAAAATAAAACAATCACATATTCACACAGTTAATAATCCAAATCGAATTATGTTCATCTTAAGATTTGAAATGAATAATTCAAATTTATTCGAATAAATATGGCTCCATATTGACCGTTGATGGCCCTCAGTGGCGCAACCACTGAGGTCCAGTGTCCAACTTACCCCAATTCATGAACATTCAATTTTTCTCTTTTTTTCTTTTCTTTAAATATTTCCAAAATAATTAACAATAATATATAGGGATAATTTCAAAAACCTCCCTTGAGCTTTCTAACTATTTCACTGGTCTTCCTTTATATTTTGAAAACTATATTAACTTTCCTTGAACTTTATTATCTTGTAATATCTAAATTCAATCAATAATTAAAAAATAATATTAGAAGAGAGGAAATAATATAATTTCACCATTGCCCTTCATCTACTAAATTGTTCAATTAGTATAATACTAGCTCAAATATTAAAGAAAACATTAAAATTTGCTATTTATCATTAGGGATTAAATCACATATGGCATCAAAAATAATATATCATTCTATATATTTTAGTTAATGTAATATTCAAATTATTCTTTTCAGTTATGAACTCATTGTCAAACATAATCAATAACAAATAATAAAAAAATATGCAACTAAAATATTACAAGGAGCGAACTTTAATACTATAAAAATCTCAATAACTAATCTTAATATGTTGACAAGAATATTTATGATATTCAAGTTTATTTTCTGTAATATTTTAGTTGCAAATTTTTTGGTTATTTATTATTGATCATGTTTGACAACGGGTATGTAGTTGCAAAGAGTAATTTAGATTTTGTATTAAGTGAAAAATATAAAATGATGTATTATTTTTTTGATGTTATACGTGATTTTATCCCAAATGATAAATAACAAATTTTAGTGGTTTTTTTAATATATGAGTTGGTATTAGATTAATTAAATAATATTATAGATGAGAAATAATGATAGAATCATGTTATTTTCTCTCTTTTACTGTCACTTTTTAATTATTGATTGGACATAAATATTACACGACAAATAACCTCAATGGAGGTTAGTGTAATTTTTAAAACATGAAGGGAAGCCACTGAAATAGCCAGAAACCTCAAGGCAGGTTTCTGATATTGTCCCTAATATATGCCCTCTTCGGGCTTGGGGGCGGGTAAATTGCTAATTGTCTCTGTCCTTTAATCTCTCGCCTAAAACCCTAAACGCAAGTGAGTTACCTTCCTCTACCCCTCTCCTTCTCCAATCCATGGCACCCAAGAATCCAATATCTGATCAGCAGCCTCCTCCGCCGGAACTGGAAGAATCATCTGAATCATCTTCTGAAGAAGAGGAGTCAGTGTCTAATAAACATATTCCTCCGCCAGAGCCAGAAACGATGAAAGAATCATCGGAACAAGAGGAGGAAGAGAGTTCTGAAGAAGAAGGAGAAGAAGAAGGGTCTGAAGAAGAAGAAGAAGAAGTAGGAGAATCTGATGTTGAAGAAGAACAAGATAAACAGAAATCTTCTCAGATTCTGCCCGATGTTCAAAAGCAGACCACCCCTCCACCTCAATTCCCTGCATATTCTGGCAAGGAAGGAGAGGAGGATGAGGAATCAGAAAACTCCATAGATTCTCCTTCTGCGTCGGATTTCAGAATCAAAGTTGTTACTCCTCCAAAGCCCACTTCGAAAGACTCTAAATCCATCTCAAAGCACCCCTTTGAAGCTGAGAAAGATGATGAAAGCGATTTGAGAGGTAAGAAAAAGGCTAAAGTTAATGCTGAAGAGTTCAGGAAAGATTCGAGTAGTGGAGGTGCTGGGAGGGTGTGGGGTGAGGAGGATGTAATCGATCTTCTTCAAAGCATGATTGATTTTAAGGATGAAAAAGGGGTTGATCCTTCTTCTAATATGCCTGCTTTTTATGACTTTGCTAGGGGAAAGTTGCAATTTGAATTTTCGAATACTCAGATTTATGAGAAGATTAGGAGGTTGAGGATTAAATTTTTCAATAATATGGAAAAATATGAGAAAGGAGGGGAGGACCTTGTTTTCCACAAGCGTCATGAGGCAGAAACTTTTGATCTCTCTAAAAAGATTTGGGGTAAGGGAGGTGATGGGATGATTAATAAGGGAGTTGATAAAAATGTAGATGGTAAGAGCAACAATGGCTATAATGGCAAAGCAAAAAAAGGTGGTAAAACTGTCCGTTCTGTGGATAAGAATGCAGTCAAAGAGTTGGGGAAAGATGATCATGAAGGTGATTTTGAGTCGAAGTATCCATTCTTGAGCCATTCGATTGATATGGACGTTGGGGGGGGTTTCTTGAGAGAGAATATCAGTTTGATTGGGGACGCCAAGGCAAAGGATTTGGAGGGCAAGTGGAAGAAATTCCGCGAAGCTGAAGTAGAGGTTTTATTGATGAAGATGGATTTGATGAAGGAGCACACTAAATTGGTTTTGGAAGGTATGAAGGAAAGTAATTAGTGCTTGGTAGGTTATATGTTTGGATTGTAAGGCATGTCTTTTGGGTTTCAGGTTATTTAGGCTGGAAATTTCATGCCACATATTCTTAGTCTGGCCATGAAAACCTTTTGGTGCCAATTTTGTTAAATCGGGTTTATAAGCTCTTTTGGACCTAGTAATTGGTAATATACAGTTGGTTCATTTTCGTTAAAGTTTAGTTATCAAATTTTATTAAATTCCTGATTATTGATTGCTCATCTGCCCTGTAATTTTGTATCTGCAGTGCTTCCCTGTTACTAGAAGTAGAAAGTTAACTGGAACTTACCTTCTTTTCCTAACTTGGGTGTAAGTGATCGAGCCCATATTAGCTAGGAATGGTGTTCACGTACAATGAACCCTTAGATCATTCCATGTATTTTTTCATTGATTTATCTTCTAGGTTATGCATCATAAAATGTTTTTCAGGATGGTGGACTACCATTCACTGTTTTTTCCTGGCTGCAATGCTATCTATTGTTGTAATTGCTACGCAATCTTTGGTTTGCTTTTTAGCCTTTTTTGAATCGGTACTTTGTAAATAGCTTATTTAGGTTTATTGATTCCTTTACTTCCCTGTTTACTTGTCTCGGGACCATTGGTCAAAACTTATGTTCAGCTAGTTGCTTGCTCAAACCAGTGACAGCATATTATGGTTTGAGAATTGTGAGTCACAGGGAAAGCTTTCTGCAGAATATCTATTCCTTGTTATGTTGTTGAGACAATAATTGATTCATTGGATCTGATTATTGCTATTAGTACATATCCCTAAACCATATTATGATCAGTCTTCAGAAAGACTATTCTTCAAGAGGGTGCTAGAAGAGATGATGCAGCTTGGACAGAGATTTTCTCTGATTCTTGTTTTGGACCAATGTTAGTTTTTTCTTTTTTATTTATCTATCAAGTTATATCAAGTAGTTTTTTCATGGTTTATACCAGTGAAAAAGAGTGAGACTCTTAACTACTTCGACTATGTGCAATGTGACAAAGCTTGTCAAATACTGGGGAATGTCAATGGTCTCAATTTCTTGCTCTGCATTGCCATTGTATTAAGATCACAGATATAAACTAAAATACGCATCTGCTTCAGCATAATCTATGAGAAGGTAGCAAACTCCTAGTTAAAGACATGACAGAAATGGTGGAATCAATTTTGAATTGCTTGTATGCCCAGTATGTGGAATGTAATTCAAACTCAGATTGCAGGAAGTGGATGGAATTTTGGTTGGAACTCTAAATAATGATTGTCTTCTTAGGTATGGGGGAGAAATATTGCCTTTTTTCAAACCGAAGAACTCCCACTTACACCCTCGGATAGAGGTTGAAAACTCTAAAATTGCTACATTTAAATTTTTGTTTTCTTTTTTTTTTCCCTGCATTTGAACTGTTACAAATGAATACGTGGTAACCAATCTGATTCCCAACTTCTGATGTCGATGAAAACGGTGTACATTTGTATGTTGAGTTGCTTGAATACCAATGCATTGCTCCTATAATTAGGATTTGGTACTATCGTCTCCCTTTTTGAGGAATCTGACTAGTAGATTTTTGAACGCATCAAGTATATGTAGCCATTAGGAAAATGCGATTAAGCAAGAAAAGCTTGAGAAATCCCAAATGTTTAAAAGTTGATCGGAGGTTCACAGGAGTTGGGACATTTTTTTAGGATGAAAGATGTGGGGATTTTGTAATAACTGCAAAAATACAGCTTCCATGGACAATCCTGCATATCAATAGAGTATGATTACGATAAGAGAGAAAAAGAAGAATGTTGGGTTTCCAAATATGGTGGAGGAGACCTTGTGTGTATTTCAAAATTGGCCAAGGTCTTCGACAATCCCGCTAGACCTCTTGAAAGAAATGCATGCGGTGAAGAAATATGAAGAAATGTGAATATGGCAGATTGCTTTTTGTTGTCAATTTTCTAGGACAAATTTATAAAAAAAAATAAAAATAAAATTTCTAGACCAAAAAAAAAAAAAAAAAGATTAGAAGTCCGCCAACGAAACAACCAACAAAATTTATTTTTTTGTGCTGCTCTTTTGTTTATGGTCGTAGTTTGGCATCAGGGGATCAAATTAATGTTTTGGCCAATTCTGTTGGGATAACTAGATATTAGATTTAGAAAACTTATTCGTATTAGCATTTTCAATTGACATGTTTATGTTCCCGCATATTTTCTCAATAGGAGAGATGTAGTTTTAGTCGCCAACGTTTTGCTTGTCAAATTGATCCCCAATGTTTCGATTAAAAGAAATATGGTCCACCAAATTTTTTATTTTAGACAAATTTATGACAATTGGTAGATCACAATAGCTAATGGTTTTCTAAAATCAAATCAGCAATACAAAGAAGTTTTTAATTTACATTTCTTGTCTCTTAACATTTGAAGTTTCGATTTATATGGTCGCTTAGATTTCATGTTGTTGTAATTAGAGCTTTATGATGAAACAAAGTATGAATTGAATTAAAAATATAACAAATGTATTCCTAAATGCCTATATCATTTCCTCCAAACACCAGCACAACATTATCATATAACCTAAAAAGCATCTTTTTTATTACATTAGTTACAATTGGATAACATTAGATTCATAATATAACTTCTTTTTTCCTTCTAATTAAAATATATCGTTCCAATAAAAAAATTTTTAAAGTACTTATCTTACTGTTTGTGTACATGAATAATATTAGGGTAAAATAGCAAAAAACTTCTTATGATTTGTTAAATGATCAATTTAACTCTCTCTAATTTGGAAACCTATACTATAGCTCCGTATAGTTTCGACTAAATTAAAAATTGAATGCAAAGCATCTAACTTAACAGTTGTATGTGAAATATCAATATTACCTCTGGTATGCGTGAAATACTTTGCATTCAATTTTTTATTTAATCGAAATCACAAAAGTTATAGTATAATTTTTCAAACCAAAGGAAGTTAAATAAAAAATTTGACAAATCACACGAAGTTCATTTATATAGGAGCAATATTAACATTTCATGTACAACATTTAGATTAGATGCCTTTCATCTAGTTTTCAATTTAGTTGAAACCACAATGAGCTATAGTGTAGGTTTCTACGCCACAGAGAGAGAAATTGAACATTTAGCAAATCACAAAAAGTTTTTGGCATCTTACCCTTAATTTTATTGAATAGTTCAAATAATTTGACAAAAATACGTTCCTTATTTAAAACTTAATTGATAATATATTAGAATGATAAAAGGTGAATAGCTTAATTTACAAATATATATATATTCGTTGTTGACTATTTAATTATGAATATAACTGATAATGATATAATTCATTATCAATCAATTACTTACAATGCATAAAGTAAATACATATATTGAACCAACTTTGAGACCAACAAGGCAAAAAAGAAGCAAAAGAAATTAATGGCAAGAGTAAATGAAATAACGATATTGAAAATTAGAGGGAATGGATGTTTAATTAACTTTTCGAACATTTCCTTATTAGGGATAATTTCAAAACCTCCCTTGAGATTTTTTATAATATTGCTCAGCTCCCTAAATTTCTAATAAAATCACTTACCTCCCTTATAAGTTAAAGTCAATATTAAAAGGAAGTATTTGATTCCTAAGATAATTTTAAAAAAGTCCAGTAAGTACTAATAGCCAAAGAGGCCTTAGTCTATAACTAAGCTTGAGATCTCAGGGTTTGGATATCCTGGATTCAAATTCCCTTTCCTCTTCCTTATTTTTTAAATCTTACCCTTCCTCTATTAGAAAAAAAAAATTTAAAAAGGTTACTACTAAAATAAACCAACACTCCTAAAGTTTTAAAATATCACTAACATCCTTCTGAACCATGTATTTTGTAATAAAACTAAGGATGGCAATGGGGGGCTATTGGGGTGGGGAGAATTTTTTCCCCCCATTTAGAAACGGGGCGTGGGGCGGGGGTATACTCCCCTGCCCCGCCACCCATTTAAAAAAAATAAAGATATATATATGTACATAATTATATATAATATTTAATTTAATTAGTTATAAATTTATAATAATGATATTATTAGTTATATGTATCATTTAATGTATATTAGTATATGTAATATAATTGATATTATCAATTATACTACTAATTATACATGTCTATTAATAAAAATTATTAATTATTTATACTAAATTTATTAATACATTTATATTAAATTCTTAACTGCACTTAATACAATAACACTTTTTTCTAAAAAAACAGAATAATAGTTTAGTGATTGTATTGGTATCAAAAGTGAAAATTTGATTATTTTATTTATATTTGTTTTATCATATTAGATTATATTCAAATAACTTTTATTTTATTATTTTTATGAGTTTCAATTGTGAAGTTACAATGAATAATAATTTGGTGATGTGTTGATATTTTAGTACTTGATTATTTGATAAAATTTAATTATAATGAAATTATATAACAAATTTTTTTTAACCCTACGGGGGAAGCGGGGCGGGGCGGGGGAAGCGTCCCCGCCCCATTGCCCCCCCCCCCTTAAATAAAACTACCCTTACATTATAAAAGTATTCTAACATTTTGTTATAAGGGATAATTCAAAAACCTTCCTTGAGGTTGAGGTTTTTGATAATATCACTTAGTTCCCCTTAACTTCTAATAATATACTTATCTCCCTTATTAGTTGAAGTCAGCATTACTTTCAGCAAGATTTCTATTAACAGTGAAGAGACCTTAGATTACTAACTAAAGTTGAGATCCCAAGAATTAGAAATTTTGGTTTCAAATCTGCCCTTCCTCTCTCTACTTCTCGAATCACATCCCTTCTTGCTCGGAAAAAAAAGTTTCTCCCAATATCAAGTAGCACCTCTAAACTTTTAAAAAATCACTTATCTCACTTTGGACCATGTATTCTACAATAATATCACCCTTACATCATAAAAGTATTATTAAAATAATTATTTATGGAGAGAGATGTATTTTTCTTCAAACTGTACCAATTTTTGTTGTCCT